ATATTGAATGAGACAAAACATTGTCTATGTAACGTAAGAAACATATTCCGATTCGTTATATATGTAATATCATAACCTAAACCTTGTGACCAAACTGTCACGAATTTAATTCTCACGGCCTCCATTTCCTTTTTTCTCTCCTAATTTTGAAATAAAGTAGATTTTAACCATTTTTTTTTTTTGGTAAACTTAACTAGGGGTGTCAAAACAGGTTGACACGACACGAATTCGACACGACACGAATACATCAACACTAACACGACACGGATTTTTATTCGTGTCAAAATCTTCAACACTGACACGACACGAATTTTTTGCGGGTTGACACGACACGACATGAATAACACGCGAAATAAAGGTCAAAACAGTAATTGACAAAAAAATTTAAAAAAATGGATCGAAATTAAAAAAATTAAAATAATAATAATAATAAATTAAAAATATAATAATTTAAAAAAAAATACGGATCGACACGAACACGACACAAATTTTTTACGTGTCATTTTTCCAACACGAACACGACACGAATTTTTTTGCCAAACACAAATTTTCGTGTCGTGTCGCGGGTCGACCCGCGTGTCAAAACTTATATTGACAATCCTAAACTTAACCAGTATTTTTGTATTAATTGTTTTTCAGTTGAATGAATGTTAATATAAAAATATTTTAAACTTACAGTTCATTTATAAAATACTTCATAATTACTTTGAAGAATATGTAAAAATTGTGAATTTGTTGTAAAATTAATACTTGCTTAAATTTCACCAAAAAAGAAAGTAATAATTGCATAATTTTTACATCCATAAATTAATGTGGAGCATAGGAAGAAAAACAAATATAAAATGGTTTCGTCTAAAAACAATAAAAAAATTACGTACAACCTCATTAATCGTGTGTCCAAACTCACTATAAGTAAACACATGAAAGTCTGAATAAATTATGCCAAACTCATTTGACATTTGCTTCAATAAGTAAGAGTTTGGACATGAATAAACTTGCTTGTGATTTTCAGAAGTTCATAAAAAAATAAGATTGGGTGAACAAGCAAATGGAACAATTTAGTTGTTAGATTAATGTTACCTATTAGCCCATGTCTAAACGTTGGTAGTTAGATTTAATGTTACCTATTTATGTTTTGTTGAATTCAATTAATGTCATTTAGTTGCAAATTTTTTTTCATAGGGAATTGAAGATTTTTAATATGTTAGTGAACATTTAGTTGTACAATGACAAATTCAAAAATGTGTAAATAATTTTTTTCATAGAAAATGTTTTAGAGTAATTTAGCAACTTAAATTTTAAAAATTCTCTTCATTTATAATTTAATCTTTAATATTAATTTATCCAAAAAAATCTTTAATATTAATTATGTGTATGAGTTGATCTTTTAAATTGAGTGATAATTTGTATTTATGATTTTTCTAGATCCATCTCATGGGTTCATATCTTAACAGCCTAATAGTAAGTGAGCAGCCAAAGAAGTTAAGGATAATAACCTTATCTTATCACTAGGAGATAAGTGATATGTCACTCATCCTATTTGACCAAGAGTCTTAATCCAATTAGGACAAGACCTGTTTGATAGACAAGATATTATAGGATATGATAGGATAAAAGAGACAGATAAGAGTACGATATGATATGAGACTAATAAACTCACATCATATCATGTGTTTGATGTGCACTAGATAAACAGTCTGAGAGGGTAATATTATCATATCCGATGTTTGAGAGGAACCATATAATGTTATGCTATGTTACACTGACACTTAAAAAAAAACCTGACGTATTATGTCTGACACTCCCTGACACTCTAACACGTGTTACAGAGACTCAAAAAGGGTTCAAAGGTTAAGTTGCACTGTGTTTTTAGTTCCAACTATTAGATTCATTAGATTACGATTACTATTATATTGAGTTTAATATAAATATTTGTGATAGAGTATATTGTCTATTTTTTGTACATATTTTACTTATTTCTCTCAGATTATAACAATAAAAATTTACATCTTATGTTTTTTTGCAAAATTGATGTGTATTATAAGTTTAACTTTATTTTTTGTTAAATTATTGAATATTAAATATTATTTAATATCATGTCCTAACGTATCGAAATATAATATTTTTTAGAATTAACGTGTTAGAGTGTCGTGTCTCATGTCCGGTGACGGTGCAACATATGTGCTATGATATGTTATAAATAGACAAAATACCTTTTTTAACATAATTTTATATGATTTTTTAAAATTGATTTTTAAACTATTTATTTATTTATTTACACATTAGTTCTTATTTTAAATTATTTAAAAAATTTAAAAGACATAATTTTAAATTAAATATATTAAAATACATAGATTACTCACAAAATTTTAAAAAATAAAAAAATATACCTCGCCAGATAAATTTTTAAAAATTGTTTTAAATTATTTGACAATATTGGTGGCCGGTGGCTAATGACAGCGGGTGGTGTTGGTGGCAGTTGTGAAGATGTCGACAATGGGTGGTGGTGACTGGTGATGGCATTGGTAATGGCCGATGATAATTGTGATGGCTGATTAATAGCGACAACAACGATGGCAAGTGGTGGCAACAATGGTTGGGGGTGAAGGTGGCCCAAGGTAGTACCTGGCTGGTGATGGGGGTGGTTAGTGGAAGTAGTGGTAATGGTGGCATTGTGACAATTGTGGTGGCTGATAGCAGCAATGGTGGTGGACTAGTGGCAATGGCCAATGGTAACGGCAACGATGGTGGTGGTTGGTGCAATGGTGGCAGGTGGAAGTGATGGTGGTGGTGGTGGTACCTAATTGTGGCAGTGGTGGTTAGGGGTAGTGCTAGAAGCCGCTGATGGCCGGCAGTGGCAACGACAAGGACTAACCCTCACATGCTTAGCAAACTTCGTAGGAGAAGTGCATAAGGCTATATTTGGAATGAGAAGGATGTGACATTTGCTATCCTATCTTGTCCATTTCTAACCCGAGTCCTCTCTTAGCATAGCTTATCCTGTTGCGGACACGATAAAATGAGTCAACATGATAAGCTTATCATGTCCTATTGGTTCATCAAACAATGAATAAAAGTAGGATATAATATTTTATCCTATCTTGTCCTCTGTATCCTGGCCACCAAACGGACCATAAGTCTACGGGTAATCTACATATAAAAGGGAATTAAGACCATTAGTTACACACTGTACGCTCTAGTATTCTTTGATTGTTCATGTTTTGGCTATGCCGACATCTTTGTGCACAATGTGATCCATTGTGATATCTCATTTATAAACACCTGCGAGCATACTGATCCTACATAAAAATACCAATCACCATGGAATTGATCAATGATTAAATTCGAAAACTAAATTATAAGCAAAGAATAATTTGAAGGATTAAGATGGTTAGCATCACCAAGACTCAAGACTGATAGTTGGGAAAATTCCCAGCATCCAAGGCTAAGATGCGCACAAATCAAGACCAGTTCCTATCACTTTTGTTACACTGTGCGCCTTAAAGTCCGACATAGTGGGCCTTCCTCACTTGCCTTTCTCTCTTCATCCTGAAGCTTTCAGGATTCGAACTTAGATGAAATGTAGACCATAAGAAATAGAATTTCGAACTTGGAAAAAAATCGATATCTTATATGATCTTTACTTTTCACAGTAGATTACGTGTGTGGTTAGAATATATAAACAAATATTTTTTATTTTATTTTTTTTTGTAATAAAACAAATATTTTTTAGATAAGATAGTTACTCTACAACAAAGTCTTGACTTAATTACAACCATTTTTTAATGTGAGAGAATCCATTTCTTAAATTATTTGTGATTTCCCTTCTGTTTTTGTCCTAAATCAAATTACGATAATTTTTTTTTTTTTTTATCGCAATGATCACAACTTAAAAATGCAAACTTCAATGCGAAGCATTCATATTTTGTAATTCCTCAAAAATATTAAGGTTAAAAATTAGAAAAAATATTTGTTCTTTCAAAAAGGACAATTATTTTAGTTAAAATTATTATTATTTATGAATTATTTTTTCTGTAGCTATTGCAGATAAGTTATCTGCAGTAAGTCCAATACGACGTTGTATTGCGGCGGAAATCATGGTATTTTATAATTTTAATTTATTTTAAGATTATTATAGTCTTTATAATTATAATTTTTTAATCTTTCAATCGCAAAACAACGTCGTTTTGAAAGTAAATACAGATAACTTAACTGCATTAACTGCAGAAATAGTTTTCCGATTATTTATTTAATATTTAAATTTAAAAAAGCCTCACATTTTCTCTTATCATTATTTCTGTTTCCTTCATTATAAAATATAATAATTTTAACTAAAATGACATAATTTTATGTTATTTAAAAAGACAAATACTAATTCTCAAAAATTAATAATTTATCTTATCCAATGAATACCGGTGGCAATGTTTAAAAATGTGAGTTTGAATTCAAGATCGAAAATTCAATCTTTCCAAAAACATTCTTCGGAGAGAGCTTTTATATTTTATCTGAGAAAGGATATACTTACCACTAAAAAAATCTATCAGTTTTACAAATAAATTAGTTGTCGTTGATTTTCGTCAATCTAACGATTATAATTTGTTAGAAATTATTTGGTCGCATTTATTAATTAATTATTAATTTTGAATAAACTCAATAAATTATAATCATTAGATTGATGAAAATCAATGGTAATTAGTTTGGTTGCAAAGATAGTAAACTTTTTTGATAGTAAGTATCTCATGCCCCTATATATTTTATGTACTAAAATTAACATAAATTAAAAGCAATTTTGGAAAGCATATGTACTTATCTTTTATGTATGGATTAATATCATAATATATAAGAATTTCCTTCAAAATGCCAACAAAAATAAAAATAAAAATTCTATATGTACTAAAAAAAACAATAATAAAAATTCTATCACTGTTACGGGTATGACAGGAGCAAGACTTTTCTCATTTGGTAAAAGAAGACATTGCTTCGTAACCAGTAAGCAAATGCACCATAAAACAAAAAGAAGAATAAGAAACTGAAGAGGTAGCGTGGCTTCTCTGCAACTCAATTTCCAAGTTCCCACTTCCAAACATTGCACACTCAAAACTCTGCAATCATGGATTTTGTGTCTCTGTTCTTGCCCTTTTTCCTTGTGAAGATTGTCCTCAAATTAAAGTACCCAAATAACATGATCATGAGGCGTCTCTTCCAAGCAACATTCCACTACTACCATCCCTAATCCATTCCTCATCAAACTCTTACTTTATCTAGCTTTCCACTATTCTAAACAAAATTCAGTTCCTTCCTTCTTCCTTTGCTTTCTTCTTCTTTTTTTTTTTTTTAAACACCCAATCATACCCCACATATTTAGCTGTAAATATATACACATTCTAGGTCTTTTGTGCCCTATTTCATGCCACCATGAATCATGGACATTCAAATTAGAGAATAAAGTTTCCATTTTTTTTTCAACAACTTACAGAACTCATAATTCAGAAATTGAATCGTGGGGATTCAAATTAGAAAATAAAGTTTCCTTTTTTCCCCAATTTGTAGTACCCAAAACCCAGAATTGAGACATGGGCACTCAAATTAAACAAGAAAGTAACACAAAACCGAGAAATTGAATCGTGGGCATTCAAGTTAGTGAAGAAAGTTTCAATTTTGAATTGTGGGTATTCAATCTTTGGCCATGCCAGGGTTGTTCGCCGTGGAAACCCCACCTCAAACACAGCCGTTTGGCGTTTTCCTCCGTGGACCGCCGCAGGATGAGCCCTCCGACGGCGGCGAGCACCGAAACCCATCGCCGGCGGCGAAGCGAACCATCAAGAAAACGCTGATCATTGACGAGTCCTCCCTGGACAACCCGGATCTGGGTCCGTTTCTTCTGAAGTTGGCCCGAGATACTATAGCTTCGGGTGACCCGAATAAGGCACTGGATTATGCTATTCGGGCATCCAAGTCTTTTGAGCGGTGTTCGGGTTCGGGTCTGGAGCTTGCCACGTGTTCACACGTTGTTGCTGCGATATACAGCAGTTTGGGGCGGTTCGATGAGGCGGTTGAGGCTTTGGAGCAGTCCATTTTGTGGCTGGATATTGAAAACGGGTCGGGTCATTCCCTGGCGAAGTTTTCCGGGTACATGCAACTTGGGGATACGTATTCTATGACTGGGCAGATGGATAGATCCATTTCGTGTTATGAGTCGGGTTTGAAGATCCAAATGGAGACTCTGGGTAAGTCCGACCCGAGAGTTGCAGAAACTTGTAGGTAAAGTAACACATCTTATCCATCCTAGATTGCCATATGGCCCTACATAAAAAAATTGTCTGTGTATTGATTTTTTTAGTTTGTTAATAATGGGTCTTTTATTTTATTTTATTTTATTTTATTTGTCTGTTGGTTTTGGGGCTCCACAGCCACATGTTTAGCTTTTAAAATTATTTAGTATTTTTAATTGATTAAAACTAAATCAGTTGTAGGTAGTTGATTCCTTTGTTCTTCATTTTTTGTATTACCTTAGAAAACTAACTAATTTAGTATGAGTCATAATGATTATAAAATTGTAAGACTTTTGTGTAAACGACAAAGATAATTAGTTTATGAAAATGCAAAAACTTTATTCTATTATTTGAAGAATCCCAATTCACAAGTACCGGTTATATTAGTCTTTATGTACCAAACATATTAGTTTTAAAGAAAAGCTAACATAATCTTTATGATTTATTAAGAATTAGAGTTGATTTTTTGCATTTTAAATAACTAGTATATTCGTTGTCAAATTTTCATAAATAAATTTTGAGTTTACCAGCTAAAACTTATCTAGTGCCTTAATCTATTGTGGAGTTATGGACTAAAAAAATTGGGCGGTTTATTTGTCTTGACATATGGATAGAGATAAATGATTATAGGCTTTATAGCCATTATCCAATAGTCGTCACATCTGCAATGGCATATGCACCACCGCAGTTATGTGTAATTTATAATATGAGTCAGTGTTGTGCTGTGCTGGACGATACGGTGTTGATAACCATGGGGCTGTGGAGTGGACCATGCAATGGTTTTGGAATCTACACAGAAGTCGGTTGAACCTTCTTGGAAGTTGGAACTAAGCTACCTTGGTCTCTCCTCTCCATATAAAACAAAACACTTTTTTTTTCTTTTCTTTTTTTGGCTTATGATAACAAAAAGCTCCTTCCTTTTGTACTTAAGCAGCAGCAGAAAAATGCTGCTTCTTTGAACAGGTGCTAGTTAAACTAAATGCCATCATTTGAGGAACTGGTTTAATGAAGTGAATGAAGAGCTTTAGAATCATCAGAAAGTATAACCAAGGTGTATGTTTGAATGCAAATTGTTTCATCTTCTTTTCTTAGTCCATTGGAATGAAGAATAATTTATCAATAATCATTTATTCAAATGGCAATGAGCTTGTTCCTCTTGATCAAAGATATCAAAGTTCGAGTTTTGAAAATGGAAAAAATTGTATTGGGAGGGTTGCCCGTGGTACGAACCGACATTGCTCATATTATCTTTGGAAGGAGCATAAGATCTTAATCTCAGTCCTCAGACTTGTCCAGCACTCAGGATTAGTCTCTTTTTTGCGCTATTTAGTAATAGTATAGTAATCAATTCTATAAATCTATGAACTGCCCCACAACCAAATAAAATATTTTATTCGTCTTATTATGAATTAAGACTTTCGTATATAGCTAGAACGACCCCCATAAATTGCAAATACTAATTTGTTCAAAATGAATCGTATTGAAGCTATAGCATCATCATTAGCCGGAATCGAAATATCTGCGAGCCGGTTCAAAGAACCGAGGCTTGTAGGGAACCCGGGGGAGCCTACCCGTCTCAAAAAAATAATTAGCATTGGTATCCAAAAATAAAATAAAATAAATAAATAAATTGGACTACGTAATTGAGAATTTTGATTTCAATTAAGAGAGTAGCTTTACTGTGAAGAACAATTTTGTGACGATTTTTCTTACAATGCAATTGATATCGCCTTCAATTAGTCCACTAGTGAGAGTCTCTATAAGTTAAAATGTACGTTGTCTCTTTTTAGGTGAAACCCTTTGCCATATTATCTGTTTTTTAGGTAAAACTCTTGGAGATAGTGTATTCTTTCCGTCTTGTAATGGACATAAGAGAAGTTGATTCTTTATATTTACATTGTCTTGTTGATATCATGTCTGGTTAGAAGGATTAGAGCATTGTTGTGAATTTCTCCAAATAATTGCTTTCCTTGAAGTGCAGGTACTTAGCTGAAGCCCATGTTCAAGCCATGCAATTTGATGAGGCAGAGAACTTTTGCAAGAAGAGTCTTGAAATTCATAGGGAGCATTGCTCACCTTCTTCCCTTACAGAAGCAGCTGATAGGCGTCTTATGGCTCTTATATGTGAGGCAAAGGGAGATTATGAACCAGCACTTGAGCACCTTGTCCTAGCCAGCATGTCAATGATTGCTAATGGACAAGACAATGAGGTTGCAGCTATTGATGTTAGCATTGGAGATATTTACTTGTCACTAGGTCGTTTTGATGAGGCTGTTTTTGCCTATCAGAAAGCACTAACAGTGTTCAAATCCACTAAGGGTGAAAATCACAGTTCTGTGGCATTAGTTTACATTCGCCTTGCTGACCTTTACTACAAGACAGGAAAATTAAGAGAGTCAAAATCCTATTGTGAAAATGCCTTAAGAATATACAGCAAACCCGTGCCTGGAACAACCCATGGAGAGATTGCAAGTGGTTTAACTGAAATCTCTACCATCTATGAAGCTCTAAATGAGCCCGAGGACGCGCTAAAGCTCCTGAAGAAGGCGGTGAAATTATTGGAGGATATCCCTGGACAATATAGGACAGTAGCAGGAATAGAAGCTCAAATGGGAGTGATTTTCTACATGGTTGGGAGGTATGTGGATGCTTGGAAATCTTTTGAGAATGCTATCACAAAGCTGAGAACCAGTGGGGAGAGGAAATGTGCATTTTTTGGAGTTGTGTTGAACCAGATGGGCCTAGCATGCGTGCAACTGTATAAGATAGCGGAGGCTGCAACGCATTTTGAAGAAGCAAGAGAGATATTGGAGAGGGAGTGTGGAACATATCATTTGGACACTCTAGGTGTCTATAGCAATCTTGCAGCAACTTATGATGCCATGGGGAGGTAAGTTTACATTTACTTGCACATGTTAAATCACGAATTTCCTCATCCATGTCTTTATAAGTTGGGATTTTATGGGGAGTAATTTTTTCGCACACGTTAAGTGACTCCCATGGTTTTTGTCTCTTTATATCATGATATGCGTATAGGGCGAGATTGGAGTAGTTATAAAACTGTTCTTTTGTAATTGGAAGGTCACGGGTTTTAATCTGTGAAACAGCCTTTTTGCAAATTTGCAAGGGTAAGATTGCGAAAAAGAATTGCTCTCACCCTACCCTCGCTAGTCGGGGTTTAATAAGGTGTCTCAAGCTTACTGTGGCTCTGTTTGGTTTTTCCTCTCAAATACATGGACAAGCATGTTGTTGCACCATAGGAATTTCCACATTATCTCTATGAGAACTGATTGTTTCATCTTCCTGTAGTTTGACTTCAAAAGCATTTTAATATTTGTACATTTTTTGGTCAGTGTAGAAAGGAATCAGTATAGGATTTTTGTGATTCATGAAATATAGCATTTTCTTGGCATATAAGATATAAAGATGTGATGAATGCTTCTTGCTGGATGAAAATGAAATCTTTGATTATTTTTTTTTTTTTTTCTCCTTAATGTTATTTGTGTACAGAGTTGAAGATGCCATTGAGATATTGGAATACATACTCAAGATGAGAGAAGAAAAACTTGGAACTGCAAATCCAGATGTTGATGATGAAAAGAAAAGACTATTTGAGCTTTTGAAAGAAGCAGGAAGAGTTCGGAATAGAAAGGGAAAATCACTTGAAAACCTTATAGATTCCAAATCCTTAAAGATGAAGAAGGAAGGAAAAAGGAGATGGGGTGCTTTTGGTTTCAGAACTTAAAGAGGTCTTATCTTAAAATAAAACAAAAAAAATCGTTACACGATCTCTTTTCTTTTGCATTTTGGAGAAGTTGTGAAGGTTTTAAAACTGAAGGGGCTTCCCTGTTCCTATATATTTCAAAAGTAATTATGGTTTCACATAATTTTTGGTCATTTGATGAAAAAAAGGGGAGATAGGAAAGGAAATGAGGAGTGATGATTGATATTATGTGAATTCTGTGAATGAAAGTCATGTAAAAGTTATATAGCTCATTTTCTTTTTCTTTTTCTCTTGCTGATTATTTATTTTTAATATGCTTTTTTGGTGATGCCGGAACATTAGATCCTAAGTCAATAACCCTTTGATAGGCTTGAGATAAGAAGACCATGAATATTTGTAATAATAATAATAAAAAAGACCATGAATATTCGACCTGGGAAATAATAACTTACTCCAATTGCTGAAGCTTCAAGGGATGTGTGTGTAGCAGGATCATCTTAGACCAGTGTAAGAATAATAAGTCTTACATCAAATCTTAACCATTGATTTTTTGCATCTAACTGTTAAGATTTATTAGGTCTCACTCGTTAATTAATTTTTAATTCTCAATAAATCTCAACCGTTAGATGCACGAAAATCAACGGTTAAGATTTAGTGCACGATTTATTATTCTTACACCAGTGTGTGTGTGTGTGTGTGTGTGTGTGTGTGTGTGTGAGAATAAATCTCAACCGTTAGATGCACGAAAATCAACGGTTAAGATTTAGTGCACGATTTATTATTCTTACACCAGTGTGTGTGTGTGTGTGTGTGTGATCCTTTGACACCGGTGTCAAATTTGAAATTTGACACCTCATCTTATAGCCGTTAGGTCAAAAAAGATCAACGACTCTGATTTGTAAGCATGTGACACCATTCATCTTTTTTAAAAATAGAGCAAAACATGAATGATTATCATACACACTCCTGTCAGGTTAGTATGTTTCTCGTCTTTGATTATTGTTGTACTTCAAAAAAGAAAAAACATTTGCCAACCAAAAGTAATGAATCATATTATAATTTTCTTCTAGTTCCACTCCTCAATATATACACAAAACAAAGCTAATTAGGGGACCTAATAGACACGAGTAATATACACCAAAAACAAAACTTATTTTTCTCAGATATTTTGCCAGGCTCGATGTATTAATAACTTAGAGAATTCTATGCCGGCCACTGACTAAGTTTATTTCTATGCAGAAAGAATGACTGGAATCAAAATGAACCCCATGCATTGTGTTCAAAGAAGCAATTTGGTTCACTAGCATGAGATGTTCATGTTCCTGGATGGATTGCTTGCCCCAAGTTTAAGGACTATTTCGTGTCCCAGATGAAGTTAAGCAGACCCTTTGGATTTCTGAACATACCAATGAAGTATCCTTTTCATAATAGATGGTGGCTACTGGCTAGCCATGTGCACATTTCTTATGCAAATTGTTGGAGTTAGTAATCCAGAAAATGATAATGACCACTCATTGATGACACCTTTCATGAATCATTTGCCGCATAGTAGAGTTCAACACCTTACCTCAGCCATGCAGGTGACTGTTCAGCCTTACCAGCTTTACAGTTCCATCCCCACCGCATGTGAAAAAACCATTGGAAACAACTTGTATGTCTGTAACAGCAGCCTGTAACAATTTAAGCTTGCATATTAGTGTGTGAACTATGTCTGATGAACCATCTATTTGTTTAGAAAAACACCTTTGCACAATTCATTTAGCTAGAAACTATTTTTGTTAAGAAAATATCATTCATTCATTTGAGTTTGACTTAATAGTTAATAGAATACCCTAGGGGCTAGGGCGCTAACTCTAAAGCAACTATGATTCTCATAGCCACCAGGCTCTGGTCATGGTGGGGAATGTCTGTTAAGGCTAAAATTGATCTATTCAGTATTCTACTAAAAAATATGAGATTTTAATTTGCGAGTGTGAAAAAATTACCCGAACAACACCACCGAATCCCCGAGAGCTTGGCTGCAGAAAGGTGTGCTTTTCATGTATCTTTGACCAGTGATGTATTAACTTTGTGCTTTGGGCATCCCAGAGTTTGACACCTCCATCTGTGCTTCCAGTCAAAAACAAGCTGGTATTTGGGATGGTAACTACTTTTGTGACACTCCCTATGATCATAAAATTTAAGCAGAAATCATTAGATAAAGAATAGAATATAAATCATAACTACCAGGGTCAAAAAACTTTCTTTACCTGAGTGAGCCTTTGGAATATACCAAAGCATTCCATCTACATTCTGGTCCTTGTCATAAGTCAAAGATGTGATAGAGCTTTGCACAACGTTATCATTACGCCTGTGCCGCTTAGCCTTTCCAGTAGCTATAAAACGGAAGTCATGAAGTCCAACATCACCGCCTTTACCACCAGTCACAATAAGGGGGGAAACAGAACCACTTCCTACATGATTATCAAATACAGAAAGAGAACGAGCTCCACCTTCACAAGACAAGAGCTAAGGTTGGTAACATAAAAAGACGTAAACCTTTGTTTAGAGACAAAAGCAAGGGATAAACCTTAGAATGTAATTCACTTTTCACAGAAAAATACAAAAAACAAAAAGTCAATATGCATGTTCAATCTAAGCTACGGACATCCAGACCTTTGCTAAAGAAACATTTCAGCACTAAAATTACATATTTCATTGACAAGATTCAAACCCCCGACCCTACCTAGTCCGAAGAAAATTTATTTATTTATTTATTTTTAAAAAAATTTAATCATGTAATAAGTTGTAAATCCACCCCAATTTTAACCAGGTTTATATGGATCCATGAAATTCAATGATTTGATTATATTACGTAGTTAGATATATAACCATTTGTATGCCTTTAGCTAATAGCTTAAGCTTTTGGAATAGTTAGTCCATAACACAATATTAGAGTTTCTATAAACAAGTGGTTTAGAGTTCTATACTTGTTACCCTCATTCTACTAAATAAAAATTAAATTTCAACACAAGGTAGGGTACACTTCAAACCCAAAGGGCTCTAGCAAAGTTGTGGTAAATATAAAACTATTCATGTGCTTTTACCATTTTTAAGCTTTATGGGTTATTTCACACCATGACAACAGGGTTTGTATGACCCAGTGATCAGGAGGTTGATTCTTCCCGTCCCTATTCTTCTAAATAAAAAGGTTGAAATTTTGCACAAGGTAGATAGGCCAGTACATTATCCATACTTTAAGTCCAACTAGTTTGGAATAAAGGTATTATTGATGTTGATATATCTTAACCTAACAGTTCAAGCCTTTTAAGATAGTTGGTTCATGATATGTATAAATGTTCATTAATACATTTAACTTGGGAAAAGACCTTCATGACATAAAATGGAAGCTCGAGAAGTTGTAGGCGGAGCTAAAGTATCCCATATGACCACATTAACACCATTAGAGCTATATCCAGCCACAGCTATTATTGATCCACTTGAAGAAAAGTATGTGACATCCCTGAAATAAAATGTAGAATAGATTTGCAATTATGTAAGAGAAAATTGGGAAATAACATCTTTATTAAGGACAAAAATAACAATTAAAAATACCAACAAAGCATAAGTCGAACTTGTTGAACTCTATCTTAAGATAAATCAGTCCTGACTAAGGATGATGTTTTATTTTTAAGCACAGTTCTAATGACAAGCTGTCCTGAATCTATCCTTGTCCTTCATTTCCAGATGGTCACCATTACTAGAACCACCAAGCAGGATAACAAATTTGAGAAAAAGCCACCCCATAGGGAAAGTAAACATAGAAAGACAATTTCTGTTCATGGAGCAGACCAGAGCAGAGAGTCAAAAATAACTCTCTTTAAAAGGTTATAATAATTTGCTTGATGCAAATTCGTAATCAACAATTTACTCCCAAACACAGCTTAAAGTCAATGACGAGTAAAATCGTAACTGAAAGTTCAGAAGAATGAAGTACATACGATGCATGACCATTAAAGCAGAGGGATGATTCTGTTGGACGAACATTGCTCCTTCCTCCTACCTCCAGCTGCCACGTGCAGACAGTTCCATCTAATGCAGCACTGGCAAACCGGTGTCCAAAGTGGTCAAACTGTACAGATGAAACTGATGCAAGAGCATAAGGTGGAGGGACATTGGCAGCAGGCAGCACTCCATATGTAGCAGTAGCTTTGTCTTTATTGAACTGTATTTATAATGCTCCTCATTAGCCATAAGCTTGAAATACTGACAACACATGAATTTAATTAACTGTACTAGAGTAAAAATGAAGCCTGTATGTGACAAACATCTCCCTAATGACAAAAAAACTGTATGTGCAATTGTGCATGAAGCCTGAACAGTAAACATGCGAACTTAAGAAACCATAAGACAAGTTTGCCACCAACAAATAAATAAATAGAAGATACCATAACATAAGAAGAAAAAGCTGTCTCTAGACTTGTTTATACAAATAGAAGCACATACAGTCAAATCTATCATGCATGCATAGCAACTTAAGATTTTCTTACCTCCCACAAGTAAATGTGTGTATTGCCTGAACCAACCAAGAAGAAAGGCCTCATTGGATGACTAGACAAAGCCCTAGTAGTTACATTCTCCAAAGTGGCAGGTGGATCAACAAAATCTTCAAAGTCTTGTTGAATTTCCCAACCTAATTCAGAGGCATCAGTACCAGCATAACCTAAAATTCCTAATGCTCCACCACCTGTCAAGTCTCTGCTGGGCCAAGCCGAAGAACCCACACCAACAGTTGCTCCACCCAGCCCAAGGTGTGCCCCTTTCTTGCTCCCAAGGCCAACACCGGGAGAAACGCACGTCGGAGCAGGAGTGGATTCAGAACCTGCCCACCCATTTTGTGGCCAATCAGCCTTGGCCCACAAAAGGTCTGATTTACCACTAAAAGGACTTCCATCTTCCAGATCAAAGAATACTATGCCCTGAATTATAAAAAAGGAAACAAAGACATTTATATACTTTCTGTATATTCAGATGTTGGATGACGAGGTTTCTAAAGTGTCAGTTTGAATGCAATAAAATTTAAATTAAAGCCATCTAACAGGAGGACTAAGAATAATTGTAAAATAATTACAATTTCAAACTAAAATGACAATAAACATATGTAATAATCACTACCATCTCCATAAAATAACAATATCCATATTTTTATTTGCATAATAAATCGGTGGATGGGCCACCACTTGACACAAGGGAAATTGAGTAAACATGTGTTGCAAATATTTCAAACATTAGCTTCTCCATATCCTCTGTCCATGCTTATGTATATCACAGCCATATGCTACACATTGTAAATGCTTACGAATCACAGAGCTCAAAGGGTTCAGAGACAACAATTGCATCATGGTGTCTTGAGTATCATTTTTGGTATATGCGTAACGTGGATTCTATGTCCTTTTTTGGTCCTTTCACCCTTTTCAGACAGCAATGTTAGTTCCAAATTACTATAATAGCTGTGTTTCACCCAAGTTAGCATATCTGCAATTAACCTAAACGTATGCTATGGCTGTGCTTATGATTACAGGCCAGCCTGATATACTCCCAATTATATACAGAAGAAAAGGGTATATATGATACAACAACTTTAACACCACACCTATTTTTATAAAGAAATGATTCATGACAGGGAATAAGATTACCATTTTCACAAAAATAAGTGTCAAACCTAGAAAAGTTAATAAATGAGGATAAGGCATGAAACAAACTTTTGAAGATAGATAGATAGATAAATGTTCTGCATTTCCTTTATGCACGTTAGTATATATGAACTTTATTGCTTACTTTTAATCTCCTCATTGATAAATAGTGATAAATGTATGTTCTTACATGTTAATTTATTTTTGACATCATGTTAGTTTTTCACATACTTAAAAATAGTGTTATACATAATTAATTTTTATACTTTAATTTGAACTATATTTATTTATAAAAAATTCAGGATCAAGAATTCATTGTTTTTCTCTTCCACTACAGAATTCAATTCTTGGCTCCACATTCAATGAACACCCACAACAAAAGACTGAACACCAAAACCATACCAAATGCCCCCAGGTGAAAATGAATTGTACAATCTTTTCTGCATAAAAGATACAGGCATGCCGCCATTGGTGTTAAAAAAAAACATTTCGACATCCATGCATCCCAAGCTTCAAATAACAGAAAATTACGAGGACAAACCTTCCGGTTGGTAGCAACTGCAGCTTCCTGTTGATTTGTAGAGTTTATGCACAGTGCCTGCTCAATCATAGCATCAATGTCATTCTTATATATACATATATGTGGCCATGTGAAAATGATTAAATAGAAGGTAAAATCACCTCCAAAAGTTCTCCATTTCTCTTGTACATCTCTCTGGGACTATGGAAAACTGCAACATGTGTACTCGTTATATCTTTCTGGTTGGATCTTGTAGAAGCATGGCCATTTAGAAACATTCCTTGAACAGGAGATCCAACTTCAAGATTAGAAGTTCTAGGGCTAAGTTTACTTTTATTATCATGGGTACCATCAGTTTTATGCAGTCCTGTCATAATTATATACAGATCATTCCATCCTTTAGTAGGTATATGATCCAAATCATCTGACCAATTGAGTTTTTCCTGTGCAAAGCAGTCAGATATCAATTTTAGATCAGCACAGCGATCCCATAATAACTGATGAACTGAATAGTTATCTTTCCTGTTCACCAGTTCCAAAACTTCTAGGTTTTTGTTCTGATTGGATTCTGATTGACTTGGTTGTTTTAACCATTCAAGAGTCATTACATTCAAATCATTCTCCAATTTCTGCCACAGAAATTCCGCAAGTTGTTTAACATGATAAGAAGAAATGTGAGTAACTGTTGTCATCAGTAAATCACATAAGCTAAACAAGACTAATCGAATCTGCTCTGGCAAGCTGACGTTATCAGAATCCATACATAGAAGAGTAGACTCCCTATAAGCATATTTTCTATTGAAAGAACTGGACAAATCACCATCTTCAAGTTTAGCAAGAACCGAATTCAAATTAGATATCATGAATCTAGACATATGTTGCCACAAGCAGGTCCCTAGAATCTTCCATCTTTCATCATCAGGAATTGAATGCTTTATATCTGCAACTTGTTTATCTTCTGCACATTTGGATACTTGGAGGTTTTGGATGTTAGTTACCAAAGATTTTTGAGCCAACAACTCTGCAATTTTTGGGATAAGCTTCTTCAGATTCACCATATCAACCTCATAAGGATTACAACCATTAGCATGAGCAATCAAGAAAGGTTCCACCATATATAAAAGAGCTTCTGAGTTTCTTTGAAGCCAAGCTAATGAAAAATGTAAATAGTACTCAAATAAATCAAGGATATCAACATGTTCTTTGATAACATCTTTGCTAACAGAACTCAACTGGATCCTCAAAATGGCTCTTAAATACCGCAATGAAATCAGAAGACCTTCAAAATGACCCTGTGTAGCATCCAAAAACTTAGATCTACTCTCAGTAGATGCACCTTTCTCAAGAAAAGTTGAACTTTGTGGAGAATGTTCCATGCTGCAGGCAGTAAAAAATCTTGAATACAAAAAGGAGATTTCTTCTGCAGTCTGGAAGAGGGGTTTAAACTGAGAGTGACATAAATTGGAAGCATCAAATATATCACTCTTTAGAGATATCTCTCCAGGAGTACATCCATGTGTCATATCACATCCAATGTACAATAATCCATGACGGCAGAGTAAGAGCAAAATCTGCAGAAAGGGGAAATTAGAATAAGAGCGATCACTGAAGTATATTGCTGACAATGGTCACACAAACACACACAAAAGGGGGGGAAAGGAATAGAAAAGCATACCATACTGATTAGACAGGGCGGAGCCAATGAAAATCTCTGTTCAAATAGAGAAAGCCCTGTGTATAACTTTTGTTTAAAACTCTCAACTGATTCCTCATATTGCATCATGTACTCATCAAAATAAGAAGCTTCCTCATTAGATTCAGCAAAAGTGTCAGGCCAACTTGGATGCTCTCTTATCAATTTCGATAAGTAGTGAAGTGCCAAATTCAATTTAATTTGGAATTCCAAATGCACAGACACATCAGCAGATAACCAGTTAGAGGATTTTCTTGGCGAAGGCTTTAAAGCGGTGGACAGCACATCATGTCTGTCACCTAATTCACTCCCTTGATCTGCAGTCCCAAGCATGCTCGGTGAAGATGAGAAATGCTCCAATGCCTCAAGCTTGAAAAAAGAAAACATTACAAATAATTACTAACGAGAAGCATAGGTAGAGTACACACATCGATATAATGTCACATATTGGCATTGTACCAACATGTGTGCCATATCTCTGTGTGCATACAATACTTCAGGCATACACAAAGCAGTAGCAACCAATCTAAAGCTTCCACAAAGAAAATTTAATTTGATGTATTGCAAAACCAGTTCAAAAAATTAGGATTATAGAGTTGCTTAAAAATTCTCAAAGGTTTTTATTAAGCATTTGTCTGGGTAGTTGGAGGGGTATAGCAGATAAATCATCTTCATCACAGAACCTTCTTAGATTAACAGGAGCAATAGGTGGACTCTTTTACATGAGAAATGCATAAGAAACATACTGCAAAAAGGTAGACAAGAATTTCTTCTAGAAAGGATCATTTTATAAACATAGGTAATAAGACATTAACAGACACTAACTTTTCCACTTTCAATAGGACAAAAGCATTTACCACACCTAAATATAAAGCTATGGAAGGTTCAATAAGTATTCCTCACACAAAGACAAAAGTGGGCAAGTTCAAAGTTTTCATATCAGCCAGCCCTAGATAAACAGAGCTGAGGACACATTCAACAAAAGGTTGAATTTTAACATATTAAATTGAATTGGTTAGATATGCTTGTATTTCAAGCATAATCATTTTCTAAGTACAATTAAACTCAAATAACTGTGCAATATGTAAAATAAACTTACAGGATTACCGCATCTTTTTAAGGAAGTAACTGTCATCAAAGTTGCCCACCTTAAAAGGATAGCAGAATTTTGCTCCCCTACAGCATTCCGCATGCTATTTTTTGTTGCTAGCATTTGGCAATAAAAACCAACAGTCGGGTCCAGAAAAGGACTGCAATTGGACATGAAGGTGGACTGCCGAGCCACAGGATCCACTGAAAATTCTAGCATTCTATCAAAAGATTGATAGTAATTACCCATTTCCCACTGCAAATCAAGGAGAGCTAGTTACAGTTAGGATCATGTACGAAACAAGCCATTACATGAATAAGTAAATCACACAAGCCAAATCAGAACAATCTAAACTACTGCTACCAGAATGCATATTCATGAGAGCAGCCTCCCTATAAGCATATTATCCAGCAAGAATCAAATTTAAATAATATGTCATGAATCTAGACATATGCTGCCACAAGCAGGTTCATAAAATCTTCTGCTTCTCATCATCAGGAATTGAATGCTTTATACATGCAAGTATGCAATAACTTTATTGTAAAGAACCAATTCAACCCAAAAGCTTAATCTTGTGGGTGAGACTACATTAATGGTTTTGATATAAGTAAAGAACCAATTCAACCCAAAAGCTTAAGCTATTAGGTGAGGCTACATTAATGGTTTTATATATCTTAACACACCCCCGCACACGAGAGCCCACTGGGCTTGAAGAGTGGACAATGCACAGGCCCACCTACCTGTGCCAACAAAGAAATTCCACTTGAAAGAAAGTGGGGGGCGGCGAGGATCGAACCCGGGACACAAGGCTCTGATACTATGAAAAGACTTGAATATAAAATAGTAGAAGAATAATATGTTGTGTATTGATCTGTGTCAGAGAGTTACAATATATAGAGACCCTAATGGGCTTAAGTGAAAGGCCCAAACCTAATCCTAATACAGTCAGAATACAGTCAGAATATTTACGGATAAGACGGAATCCAATCATATCTAATCATATCATATCTAATATTCTAACACTCCCCCTCAAGCTGGTGCATATATATTATGAGCACCAAGCTTGTTACAAATGTATTCAACCCGAGGACCTCTAAGAGCTTTAGTGAAAACATCCGCTAGTTGATCAGAGGAGTTGACGAAAGCAGTCTTGATTTCTCCTGACTGAATCTTTTCTCGAATGAAGTGACAATCAATCTCTATATGTTTGGTCCTCTCATGAAAGACAGGATTAGAGGATATATGTAGCGCAGCTTGATTATCACAGATGAGTGTCATGGGTTGTTTCTGTTCACAAAGATGAAGCTCCTGAATCAACTGCTTTAACCAGACTAACTCACAGGTAACATTTGCCATTGCACGATACTCAGCTTCTGCACTAGATCGAGCAACAACAGGTTGTTTCTTGCTCTTCCACGAAATTAAGTTTCTTCCAAAGAAGACACAATAGCCAGAAGTAGAGCGCCTGTCCGAGGGTGATCCTGCCCAATCAGCATCTGAATAACCACAAATTTCTGTATTTCCCTGATCTGAATACAACAAACCTTTTCCTGGTGCTCCTTTGATGTATCGGAGGATCCTCACAGCAGCATCCCAATGTGAATCACAAGGGGAATCAAGAAACTGACTAGCCGTACTAACAGCGAAAGAAATATCTGGCCTAGTCACAGTAAGATAGTTGAGCTTCCCAATTAGCCTCCGATAACGTCCAGGATCAGATAACGGCTCCCCCTGTCCGGGCAATAACTTGACATTAGGATCCATAGGTCTATCAACTGGTTTACTCCCCAACATACCAGTTTCTTCTAGGATATCCAGGGCATATTTCCTTTGACAGATAGAAATGCCCTGTCTGGATTGCGCCACCTCAATTCCCAAGAAGTAACGCAGCTTCCCAAGGTCCTTTGTTTGAAATGTACTAAACAAATGTTGTTTTAACTGACGAATTCCGTCTTGATCACTTCCGGTGAGAATAATGTCGTCAACATAGACTAACAAATAGATACACTTAAAAGGAGATGTAATCCTATAAAACACAGAATGGTCAACTTTACTGCGGATTAAGCCAAACGCCTGAACAGCAGAACTGAAGCGACTGAACCATGCTCGAGGAGACTGCTTGAGACCATATAAGGATTTCCGAAGACGACACACCTTTCCAGACTCCCCCTGAGCAACAAAACCAGGTGGTTGCTCCATGTAAACTTCTTGTAAATCACCATGAAGAAAGGCATTTTTGATGTCAAGTTGAAGGAGTGGCCAGTGACGAACAGCAGCAAGGGCAAGAAAGAGGCGGACTGACGCCATCTTAGCGACCGGAGAAAATGTATCGCTATAATCAAGGCCAAAGATTTGAGTAAAACCCTTGGCAACTAAACGTGCCTTAAGACGATCAATATGGCCATCAGGTCCAACTTTCACAGTAAGAACCCAGCGACAACCAACTATAGACTTCTCTGGAGGAGCAGAAACAAGGTCCCAAGTGCCATTGGAATGAAGTGCAGTCATCTCATCAAGCATTGCTTGGCGCCACCCTGGATGGGAAAGTGCTTCACCTGTGGTCTTAGGAATAGAAATAGAAGAAAGACTAGAAACAAAGGTGAAATGAGGTGAAGAAAGACGGTCATAACTCAAAAAGGTATAAAGAGGATAAGGGTTACGAGTAGTACGTGTACCTTTTCTTTGAGCAATGGGAAGAGTCTCTGATGAAGGATCCAGAGGGGAAGAAGCAACAGCAGTGGGCGATGAGTCAGCAAGAGTTGAGTCGACAGGAGGCACAGTTTTGCGACGCTGATAGGTGAGAAGTGGACGGTCCTCAGGTATAGAAGTAATAGGTTGCTCATCTCGAATAGAAGCACCTGCAGCTGGCAAAGACAAGTCAAGAAAAGGGACATGAAGTACATGATCAACCTGTGACATCTGAGATGGGATAGAATTAAAGGGTTGTTGATCAAGAAAAGTGACATCAGCGGAAACTAAGTAACGCTTAAGGTCGGGAGAATAACAACGATAACCCTTTTGAAGACGAGAATAACCAAGAAAGATACACTGAAAGGCCTTGGATGTTAACTTATCCTTACCAGGAGTGAGATCATGAACAAAACAAGTACAACCAAAGACATGTGGAGTTAGAGGATAAAGAGGAACATCTGGAAGCAATAGATTATGAGGAATGTCATTGTGGAGCGCAGATGAAGGCATGCGATTGATGAGAAAACAAGAGATGAGTACAGCATCTGCCCAGAAGTGAAGGGGAACCTGCATATGAATAAGAAGGGTACGGGCAGTTTCAATGAGATGTCTGTTTTTACGTTCAGCCACCCCATTTTGTTGTGGAGTGTGAGGACAAGTAGTTTGATGTAAAGTACCTTGTGTGGCCAAGAAATTAGAAAAATCAATAGAAACATATCCCTTAGCATTATCACTACGTAGAATACGAATAGAAACACCAAATTGAGTATGGATCTCAGTAGAAAACTTTTTATAAATGGAAAATAGCTCGGAACGATTTTTCATTAAATAGGTCCAAGTGCAACGGGAAAAATCATCAATAAAGGTAACGAAATACCGAAAACCTAAGACAGACAAGGTACGACTTGAACCCCAGATATCTGAATGAACAAGAGAGAAAGGGGCATCAGCTCGTTTATTGACTCGACTGGCAAAAGAGGAGCGTGTATGCTTCCCTTGTTGACATGACACACAATCTAAAGACTGAAGACCGGACAAAAGAGGAACCATTTTCTGCAACTTTGAAAGACTTGGATGACCAAGGCGACTGTGGATAAGTTGTGGAGATTCTGAGAGAGAGCATGCTACTGAAGGACGAGGCACATCCAGATAATAAAGCCCCCGTGACTCACGACCCACTCCAATCATTTTCCCCGTACCCGGATCCTGCACAGAAACAGAATGGTTAGAGAAAGTAATGGTGCAAGTGAGGGAGTGGATCAACTTACTAATAGAAATTAAGTTATAAGGGATGCCAGGAATGTAATAGACAGATGTCAGGGCCAAGGTAGAGGTCGGACGAGCTTGTCCAATCCCACGAACTGAGGCTTTGGTTCCATCCGCAAGGGTAAAAGACGGTAAATGATCAGAATAAGTAAGAGATGTAAAGAGATCCTTGTTACCACAGAGATGATCGGTAGCACCGGAGTCAAATATCCAAGTGCCAAGTGATGTAGAATGAGAAACACAAGCAACAGGATTACCAGTATAAGGCTGAGACTGAGGAGAAGCCTTCTTGAGAGGGGTTTGGAGTGCAGCATAGTCCGAACCTGAACCAAATGATGCATTGTCTGACTGAGCTATATTTGCAACAATAGAAGGAGAGTTAACCTCCGAGAGATCAGGAGATGCTGCTGCCATTTAAAGATAAAATATCAAAGCCGTAAACGAAGGCAAACGATATCCAATCAAGAAGAACCACGCGTCTAAGGTCAGACCCACAGAGAAACAATCACAGATCCAGAAAGGGGAGGAGAAGGCGAGCTTCTCTGTCCAAGATCGGCCGGAAAAAGCCGCCGGAATAGTGCTCACGCGCCGGCAGAAGGTGGCGCGTGAAGCCCACGCGCATAGAAGACAGGTGGTGCGTGACGGCGCGTGGGAGATGCGTTGCTGACCGGACCACCACAGACCTGGTCGCCAGGAAGAGAGGGTCCTGATCGCGTGAAGTTTGGTCGGAAAAGTCGCTGGAAAAAGTCTCTGGTTGCCTGAACAGTGATTCTGACGGCGGGCGGTGGTTCCGGTGGCCGTCGGAGGTGCTGTCGCGTTTGGAAAAATCACTCAGAGGCTGTTTACAGCCCTAGAAGGCTTGTCGGAAGGACGCACGGCAAGAAAGAGGACTCCTAAGCAATGGGCTTAGGTTTTAAAGCAAAAAACAAGGTTTTTAAGCGGAAGCGAGGGTTCCCAAAACGAAAGAGCTCTGGTACCAACTTGAATATAAAATAATAGAAGAATAATATGTTGTGTATTGATCTGTGTCAGAGAGTTACAATATATAGAGACCCTAATGGGCTTAAGTGAAAGGCCCAAACCTAATCCTAATACAGTCAGAATACAGTCAGAATATTTACGGATAAGACGGAATCCAATCATATCTAATCATATCATATCTAATATTCTAACAAAAAGAACCAATTCAACCCAAAAGCTTAAGCAATTAGGTGAAGCTACATTAATGGTTTTATATATCTTAACAATATATCTCTATCACGCCCCCTCACGCGAGAGCCCACTGGGCTTGAAGGGTGGACAAAGCTCTGATACCATGTAAAGAACTAATTCAACCCTAAGCTTTTGGGTTAAATTGGTTCTTTACAAGGTATCAAAGCCTCGTGTCCCGGGTTCAATCCTTGCCGCCCCCCATTTTCTTTGTGGAATTTCTTAGGATAGGTAGGCAGAGCCTGATGCATCATCCACCTTTCAAGCCCAATGGGCTCTCTTGTGAGGGGGCGTATTAAAGAAGTATATAAACCATTGATGGGCCTTCACCCAAAAGCTTAAGCTTTTGGGTTGAATTGGTTCTTTATATAGCATCAGAGTCTCGTGTCCCGGATTCGATCCTCACCGCCCCCCATTTTCTCTTGTGGAATTTTCTTAGCACAAGTAGGTAGACCTGTGCATTGTCACCCTTCAAGCCCAATGAGCTCTCATGTGAGGGGGCGTGGTAGAGATATATAAAAACCATTAATGTAGCTTCACCCACCAGCTTAAGCTTTTGGAGTAAATTGGTTCTTTACATTTATCTTCTTCACATTTGAATGCTTGGAGGTTTTGTATATTACTTATGAAAGAATTTGATAAAGTTCTAGCATTCTATAAAACTACTGATAATAATTACTCATTTTCCACTGCAAATCAAGGATACTTAGTTATAATTAGGATATGATCATGTCCCAAACAAGCCTTACAAGCAGAATATAACGGAATGTAAATGAATAAAAGTAATTTGGGCACCTCCAGAAGGCTTGCAAGCCAGTAGTCTCCTTTATCAATCGCAGAAGGAAGTATGTACTTCGTAATAAGGTGATGCTCCAATGGTCCGCCATGGCCCTCCACAAGACGACAAATAACTAGTGCAAGCTGTTCATCCCCAAGGTTCTTAGCACAAATATTAATAGCAGAAGAATGATCACCTCCAAGCAAAAAGAAAGCAATTGCTAATTCCAGCTGATGCTTTCCCAATAAGACATAAGCATTTTTTAAAGCAGCAGCTTTATTTTTCTCATCCTGTAATCAACTTATTATGATTACTTAAATGATTTAATAATTAATAACATAAACATAGTAAAAGCATTGCATGTAGGAAAAGGAAATTTGATAGGTAAACATACTTCATATTAAAAACAATTATTCAAATATACATATCGCTATCAATCTAATTAGTCGTCCCTTATTGGCATCAACGAACAAGCACGTATTAAAATAACACTGTTCTTGCAGATGTGTTGTCAGACAATTTACCTGAAAATTGCGTGAAAGAAAACCAACTAAAGGCTTGTCCTTTTCATCCTTACTGATTTTGAAAAGGCCAGCCAAAACTTGAATTCTATTCAGTGCGATATACAACAATGCACAATCCTTCGGATTTTTGTTCTTCAAATATTGTGCTCTTGCCAATTTCTCCATCTAGAGTTAAGAGAAATAAAGGAACTATTAAAACTGTTTGAATGGGGAAAAGAGTAATAAATAACCAGATATTCTGTGTTCTGATGAGAATAATACACAGATGACAAGCACATACACAAACGACAATACAATAATTGGAGAAATAAAAATTTCCTTCCACATGCTTATTTTTCAGAGCTGATGAGAAATAGTTTTTGTTTCATGCTTGTTACCCTGTATACAACACAGAGAAGAATGGAAGATAGAAAAGGACCAAGCATTACCCTTGAACGCAATTGAGGTATACTAGCATACCAAAAGCCCATACCCAAAGCACGCATTTCTTGCCATGACGGTTCATTGGGTATGACAGAACCAAATAAATTTTCTAGGCAATCGGAGTGGTAAGCCCATACAAACAACCTTGAGTTAACAAGCAACTCTTCCAAAGATGCAGCTCTAGCAAACTTTCGGTGAAAAAGTAGTTGCTGAAACCTCAGTGCAACCCAAAACCTACAAAGTAAAGTTTAGAAACCATATCACTTCATGTACCAAAAAGCAAACATATACAAATCTGGCCCCACCACCACTGCTAACTGTTTTTTTAAATATATAAATCATCATCTAAGTTCATATTTCATAATTATTACCTGCAGTGGCACTCCATAGTTTTGCAGTCCCACATCCATTTATTCGATGGAATTTGACATGTCAACAATATGATTTACAGGTTATTGAATCTCCATTGTAAAATTACTAACACAATACGTAGTTCTTGAAATGGAAGAGGATAAATTGCTCTGTTGTCAACAATAAAAATTAGATGATTCCATAAGCATGGCATTTATCTTATTGCAGAGATTCAAAGGAAAGTCTTTAATTCAAGATTTCATATACTTGGTCTTGGATTTTGTTCTCTAATCACAAATTTCCATCGTTAATTTTATTGATGAAATTGTATTTCATCCTGGCCCATTGCAGGATGTCCTTTTTGTATACCTGTGAGTTCGATTGGTAATGCTTCATTTATCTTCCAATTAACTTTTACTTGTCATTTATCAAAAAGAGGGGGGTGAAAAAAGAAAAAAGTCAAAGGAAGATGAAACAGGAAACAATACAAATATTAAACAGGTTCAAGAATACCTTCGACCAGGTTCATCAAGACTTTGATATGCAGAAGATGAGTGTGGATTACTAACTTCACTGAGCAGATCAATGATTGCAAGAATCTGTGTCTTCTCTATGTTGATCAATAGTGGTAAATCAGGCAAATTCTCAAGAGATTCAATAAAGACATTAAGCTCAGATCTGGTTGAGGTGGAAATGCTTTTATTTTCAGCACTGGAACCTGAATGATACGGAAACTGGATCAAGCTACTTTGAGCCTGTGAAACTGATGTGATTGAAGCAGCATCCCCACTCCATGGGAACCCCTTATCTTCGGAACCTTTTGATATATGGCCTTCTATATAATATGACAATATGATATTTGGAAGACCCGTCTTTTTGGAGAAGTGTCTCTTTTTAGATTCGTAATCAGAAGTCAGGCATTCAACAAGATGCCTCACAGCTATATAAGCACGTTTCCAGTTGCCTGAAAACATTAAAAATAATAATAATAATTAAACATGAACAATATGATATAATTCCCATTAAATGCTTGAGTAAATTAGCTGAGTCATCAGCCATCCTTAAAGAAAACAATTTACTCCACCATTACCTGAACTTATATTAGTAAGGAGTACATCAGGGTGATAAGTAGGTAAAGATCCACTAATTATTACAGCTACTTCTAGCATGCTCCATAAACCAATGCTGCTAAGAAGTTCAGATTTTAATTGCTCCTTGGCCAGAAACAAGCTACTGGATTGGTTATTGTCCTTCATATTAATTTTGATGGACTCTATGGAATCACAATCTGCACGACTGTCTCCAATTGACAGTTCTTTGAAAGCACCAATATCACAATCAGTAAAAACTGCAGAAAGAATGTCTTCATATATTTCACCATTGCAATTATAGGCATTTGGCTTTGAATCACAAGAACGATAATTATTCATTTGCTTTTCATCCCTGTGGAACAACCAATGACTATATATACTGAAGTAATTTCCATGAATTACCACTGCAGCAGCTCTGGGTGCCCATAAGAAATCATAAATTGGAAGGGAAGTGTGAGCAAATGCAATGCGAACCCATATATTTATTTTTGAAAAATTTACAGAGTTTGACAAAGTCAGACCATCATAACGCCTCGGAGCATATACTTGCAATTCATTTTGCAAACAAACTCCAAGCAATAATTCACCAGTCCCTAAAGTTAACCAATTTAGAGTAATAACATCACTTTCAGGCGTTAGTTTATCTTCCAAAATAAAAGTCCCTGCACTGATCAAATTTACAGCATCCCATATATGGATGGTATTGACAGCATTTGAATTGCTTATGTTGCAGAACGTAGCAATCTTCTGACCACAATCAGTGAAACATATACCCTTGACGGGACCGTTATGTGCAACAAACATACCCACAAGCTCCCATGGCAAGTGTAGGGTCAATGGGTTGCCTGGGTTGCTTCTCCAAAGTTTCAAGCTGCCATCAGAGCAACCTGTGGCCATGATATATGTAGGATAACTACTACAAAGATCATTTGTAAAGCCAAACTCTTGTTGTCTATGGCTCAAAGTTCCTGGATCAGCCACCGCAAAACTAGTAACTACATCATTGGAACTTGGAAACTCAGATGAACATGGATTTACAGTAACGCAATATCTTTTACTAGCAAATGTACTTTCAAATGCCCAAACACCGCAGTCCTCTAGGCTTTTGGCATCAAAATCGCAATCACAACAGCTTGTTGACATGTCAAATGAGTGCAAGTTAACTTCCCATGACAGGGCCTGAAATCTCCCCATCCAAATTGCCAATAGCATAAGTTTACTATTACGAAATGTTTTATTACAAGTAGAGTTCAAAGGAATTGCAAAGATATCAGATGGGCCATCCTCATAAGGACCATGACCACTGAAAGGAATAGTGCATACATAGTGACATTCTATGTTTTCTTCTTCAGTTCGACGAATATTGACTATGAAGCAATCAATCCCCCTGGCATGTCCCATAAAAAAAACCAGTTTGTCATCAAGTATTGAAGGTGCCCACCTCAAGCTTGTATATATGGAGCATGAGTCTTGAGTTGCAAGCTTTCCGCATAGTTCCCAAGTAGGAACTAAAGTTGGACATCCCAAAATGCAGTTTGAAATGTTCGAAAGTGACCAAAAAAGAAGCAGCCCATTAGAATCCAGAGAAGCAGCAAATTGAACTTTGCATATATAAGGATGAATTGAAACCTTTAAAATTTTCCCGCTGTGACCATCTAAGTTTAAAACTCCACCAGTCAAATGGGAGGAGATGTTATCTGTGTTATTATCAAGGGAGTTCTCCTCAGCATCATGTACTGTTTGAACAGGGAAAAATGACCAAACTAAGGAGTTACAATGTAATAACTGAAGTGGAGAGCATAAGATCGGAGGGCCAGACAAGCAGTTTCTCAATATAATGACTTTGTGCAGAAGTAATGCGTTTTTGAAATCAGATGAGTCACACTTATAAACGTTTCCTATGTCGTCACCCTGGATTTCATGTCTTATCCATAACGTAACTCGGGGAAATCTCAGTGGGGAGACATCATCAAGACAGTGGACAGCCCAAAAGCTAAGCAACATTCCAGGACCAAAACCAACTAACCAATCGCATTTTCTAACATCGTGCCCAAATTCTTCTTTGGAAAAAACTTGTTTGGCTCCTTCACCAATTCTAAATATTCCCTCAATTTCTGTTCCCCATGTTACAAATATATCTGATCCGAGAGTTCCATTTAAGGCCTGATTAATCTCAATAACAGCAACAACACAAAAAGAGCGCCCCAAGTTCTTCTGATCAATGATGTCCTTCCCAGCCCTCTTGGCCTTTCCATTATCAATCTCACTCCATAACCTTGCAGTTCCATCTAAGCAGCATGTCAGTAATACATGCCTTACTGAATGCCTACCATGTCTGTTTGATAGCTTTCCTCTTGATGGTCTCCATTGAATCATTATGACAGGTAGAGGATGGTGCAATTTGACTTTTGAATATTCAGATAGTCCATTGCTTTGAAATACTAACACACATTTGCTTACCTCATTGATTAAGGGCCCTTCCATATGTTCTTTATTAGGATGTGCTGCAGTTGCTGAAGGGCCCTCAATAGACCAGGTTGCACAAACAAGAGTTTGGGGTTGATCAGCTTTGAACTTCCAAGCAATTTCCCAACACCTGTTACTCTTTTTCCAGAAAATTACCTCCATTCCACCAGAAATTATTCCATCCCCTGATCCTGTCCATCTGATGGTCCCCACTTTTGTATGTTGTACAAGCACTGCATTCTGGCTCCAACAAAAAGAACCTGAATATGAGTGACAAGATTGTGTTTTTAATATATACAGCTAATCAAAGAGATGTCTCATCCTATTATAAATTTTTCTGTTTTCGGTTTTTCTCAAAAGAATAAATATATTAGAAACAAGAAAGAAAGATATAAAGAACAGACAAGAAAATCTCAATAAGAAATCAGAGTTTGCCGAAATCTTTGCATATTTAAACCCCTCCAACATAGACATTATCCCCTTCAGTTGTAAACTCTTATTAAAGTGGACAGACTAAACAATACATTGAGGGCCTGTCACACAGGCTTTTATTCCAAACAATATGAAAGACTTTAAAAAGCATGTAAATTACGAGTAGTTGAGTTAGCTTCGAACTAAAACTTATACAAAAGGCGACCTTTTAATATTCACTGAAATCTTCACTTTCTGAAAAACGCTCTTGTACCAGTTTCAGTCTAGCTGTGAGAATATGCATGTTCTCTGATTTTTATAACCCCTTACCCAACTTCCCTTAATTTTCAGAACTGAGTGAAACATACTAGTTAGTATACATGAAAACAAACCCATGCTCAATATTGTGACTCAAGAGCCATCCCTCCTTCCCCCTCAGCAGAAGTTTAACATTCCAACTGTTCAGAACCTAGATGTATATACAGCTCTTTGCTTGCTATGTCACAAGGATTAACAGGAAATTGATAGTAGAAGTTTTATTATCAAATAATCATAAGCATCTCACACAAACTTGTATAATTATCTCAAGTGAAAAAAGAGAGGCCTTTTTGCTGACTAAGCATAAAATATAAATCCCAACATCACACTCAGAGCTCAGGTTATAGAAGTTTCTGTCAAATCTTCCAAACTTGTATCACCTTTGATAAACAACCAATTCAACCTAACAACTTAAGCTGGTAAATGAAGACCCATCAATGTTTTTTATATTTTTCTAACACACCCTCTCATACAAAAACTCTTTGGGCTTAAAACATGGATATTGCTTGGAGCCATTTTTTTTATCCTATCTTGTCCTGACTTAATTCCACTAGAAAGTAGGGGGCGGTGAGAATCAAACTAATAAACCCGTGGTCACCTAAGCTCTGATACCATGATAAATAACCAATTCAACCTAACAACTTAAGCGAATAAGTGAAGACCATCAATGAATTTTATATTTCTCTAACAACTTTGGATAATTGAAGTGAACCCACGAACATAAACCCAACCCGGAAACCTATTAAAATCCGAATTTTTAAGACCATGTTATAATATCCAGTATTTCAGAAATCAAACCAAAAAACTCAAAAAAAGAGTTTCAAACTTGAGGAGTTACCATTAGACGTTGCAGAATCATGGTGGAAAACCCAGATGCAATTTTCGGCAGCAGCGGCGAGGTCACCGGAAGAAGGGGTGTGGGGAGACCAAGAGACGGCGGCGACGGGGGAGGAGCGATCGGCGGAGAGCTCGAAGACTTGACGGAAAATGGGACCGATGCGGGTTTGATTGGTGGAGAGAGGAGAAGGGAAGTGAGTGATGACGAGAACGGAAGAAGCTCCATAAGCGATCCATGAGTAGCCGCAAAAGTCAGGTAGAAAATCGACGGTGGATTCAGAAAATGTTGGGGCGGGTGTGACCACCTCGGATCTGTGGAGACGAAGGGGAAGATGCTCGATGGGGTTAAGGTCCATGTTCATGTTCATGTTCATGTTTGGTCTTGTCTCTCTCACTCTGTGTCTGTCTCTCTCATTGTTCCTCTCTCACCAGAGGAACCAGAAGAAGAAGAAGAAGAGCCTTGCTCAGTGATCAATGTCATAAATGGCTTTAATTTTTTTTTTGGTAATTTCTTTTTATTTTTTGTCTTTCAATTTACTTCATTTTGTTTTGAGAACTTATTAAATTTGCTCACAAAATGATATAAGTTTGTGGTTTTTATTAATCTCATGTTAAAGGAAATAAGTTATTTCATGTCATAGAGATAAACTTGTGGGCTCCACTATCTAAAAAAGAAAAGAAAAAAGTGGCACAATTATCGAATGATGTGTAGGAGAGAAATTTATCACATGTAACATAGAGTAGTCTTTCCCTAAGTTTGTATGTAATAATAACTAAGCAACAATAAATGAGTAAAAATTATTGGGAAATACTATTCAAACAATATATGCTATTTTGTTGGGAGAAGGATATTGTAATAATCAATTAGTGTTATTACCAATCAATGTTATCGTTAGATCGATTATATTGATCCAACGGTTATGTTTATTTCATCTTTATATGGTTATAATTTCCTATATTTAATACTTTATATTTATTTTCATATTTGTATAGTTATAATTTTTCGCATTAAATATGAGAGATCACAATTATATAAAGATAGAAATAAATATATCGTTAAATCAACATAATCAATCTAACGATGAAATTAATTGATAATTAATAACATTGATAATAACATTAATTGATTGTTACAATGTCCTATTCTATTTTGTTGTATGCGAGAATACTATTCTCTTTTTCTGCATCAGGAGAATATCATTTTCCAAAATTATTTAGGTATGATGATTATAGGAACACTCTTGCAACTTCTTAAATTAGTAGGCTTACCTACAATTTATGTTTTACTTAATTCTCTCATAATTTTATCAGACTCATCATAATGGTCTCAATTATTGATGTTGAACATGTCAATTGCACATTTCAGGTGTGTTGGGAACAGGTTTTGGTTTGAGTTTGATGGGAAAATGTGACTAGATATTGAAAAAGATCATATTTGGTTAACGTTTTGAGAAAAAAAGATCAGCAGAATAGGAAGCCTAGGCAATTAGATTTGCATTTTTTTTTTTGCTGAAACTAACTGTTCACAAATATCACTTTGGGTGTGGTATTTTAGGATAAGGGGAAAGTGGTATTTAAGGAAACCAAGTTATTGACTTGGACTCTCACTTTTAGGCAATGGTTCGTTTAAAAAATATTGATAATGAGATATTTTGGTCAATTCAACCAATTTTTTCATCACTATTTTACATTTAACCAAACATAGACTTTGCAAATTTAAATGAATTTCCCTGGTAAAATTTCTGTGAACCAAATATCTTTTTTTAAACTTTTTCATCTAACTTACTTTCCTATTGTATTCCCATTAATTATGTTTATCTGCTAAAAAAAAATATCCCCTCTACCAAACGCTCCCTTAGGAGGCGTTTGTTAAGCGGATTTTTTTTGGTTATCCGGGAAAGTAAATTTGAGAAAAGTTGTATGCCATGTTTGGTATAAAAAAAAGACAAATTTCCTGTATAAAAATGTTCTCCGTTCTTTGGTTTTGTATGCAAAGTTAGGTACGGCAATGGCAACCTTTTGCCCATTGAATATATGGAAACTTTTTAACTTGGGGATGTGAAAAGCAAAAGCCAATGAGATGGCCAAAATGACATTGTCTAATTGTACAATATGTGAAGATATGGAGTTGGGTGAAGTGATATAGTGGGGTTATTTTCGTAAAGTAACCTCACTTTCCCACTAATATTTAACAATCAACCAAACACATACTAGTAAATTTAATCATAAAATTCCTAAGAAAATTTGGTCATACCAAACACATTTTACTAACATTCCGGTAAAAATATATTTCCCCTTACATTCCAATAATAATTATTTCTCGGATAAATAAAAATTTATCTTCTACCAAATGCCCCCTTAAGTTTATATAAATTGCCCTGATAAAATTAGTGATTGAAATGAATTTATTAAATATTAACCTACAAATAAAGCTAAACTTAACAACACACACACATGTGTATATATATATTATGTGATAGGATCATTAGATATTGTATCAAACTTTGAAATTTGATATCAAATTCTAACAGTTTATTTTCGTCAATCAACGATTATTATTTATTAATTTCTAATAAATGATAACATTTGATCGGTAGAAATCAACGGTAAGATTTGATGTCAATTTTTAAAGTTTAACACCAATATCAAAATATCCCACCGCATATATTATTGTCATCTATATAGTTTAAGGGAAAAGTGTTTATCCTTTTAAATGACATAACTTATATCCTTTCACTCTCACAAAGAGGTGGGACCCACACCTTTATTTTTTTATCAACTCTCTCCTCTTTTATCTATATCTTTCTCTATCTTAAAATGACACAACTTTACATCCTTTAAAATGACACATATTTTTCTCATAAATCAATGACTGTCGCAAAATATTAATTATATAATAATCCCTCGAAATTAGGGTATACATATCAAATAGTCATCTGCGCTTTCCCGAAGCAAACTACATTGCAGCATAATTCCTTCTAGTCAAATTTTGTTTAATGAATAAAGTTCATTAAAAAGGGAACAGTGACCATTGTGCCACTGTTCCAAGACTTATTTACCCAAATGCCACGCCAGAAAACAATTTTACCAAACTGCCACAAGGGCAAGTTCGCCCAGAGCAGTAGCGAACTCTGACTGATGATGTGTCACGTTTCTGGTGGATGGGTAGTTCGCTACTGCCCCAAGCGACCTTTGTTGCAATTAATGCCTCATCTGTCAGGCGACGTGGCTTGCATGCAGCAGAGGTCGCTGCCAACGTGGGCGACCTGTGTGCAACGGCTACATGCCAGGTGGCTGACATGCACCAAGTTCGCTGTGGGGGGAAGCGAACTTGGTGTAACGGCTACTTTTCCCACCACTATATAAACCCACCCCCTCCCCCTCCCCCCATTTCTCCTCTCATCCCCAGCAAAACCCCCCTCTCTCTCTCTCTTTCTTCTCTCACTTTCTTCCTCTCTTAATTTTCTTTCTCTCTCATTTTCATTCTTTGTCTTCATTTTAGGTTAGTATTAATTTTTATTAAGTTTTTTATTGTTATTTAATTGTTGTTAATTATATTATATGTAACATGAAACATTAGGTTAGATGACATATTAATTGTTTTATTTATTTTAATTAGTTTAATATTAGTAGTTTAGTAATTACCTTTTAATATTAGTAGTTAAATATTTTATAGTTTAATTAATGTATTTAATAAATTGTTTTATATGTATTATTTATTTATAGAATTTAGGGTAAGATAATTCTTAGGATTAATCTTATGACACATTAAGTTAGATGACATATTATTTATTTTATTATTTGAATTAGTCTAATATTAGTAGTTTAGTAATTGCATGTTAATGTCAGTAGTTAAATATTTTATTGTTTAATTAATCTATTTAATAAATTATTTTATATGCATTATTTATTAATAGGATTTAGGTTAGATTTTTATATTTTGATGTTGTTAAATTATGTATTTAATAATTTGTTAATTATGCAATAAAAAATATTATTGAATTAAATAAAATTATTTTTTTGTAGGATTGAAAAATAGGTTAGAAAATGTTAAACATTGGCTTATATAATATGTATGTTAATGTTATTAGGTGTAGTACTTTTTATTAATGTATTATTTAATAATAATAATGGTTTGATATTATTTATAGGCTTGGAATCTAGGTTAGAAAATAATAATTTTAATTTTGTTAGATTTTATATTTAATAAAATCTTGATTATACAATAATTAAAATATTTGAATTAAATAAAATTATTTAGTTATAGGATTGACAAATAAATGTGACAAAGTTCTTTTACCACAATGTTTGTATTTATTTATTTATTAGTAATTAGTATTTATTTTTAGAATTTATATAATTTGTGTATAATATATTATATATCTTTGTATGCAATTATTTAATTTTTAAATTTAATATAATTTAAATGTAATATATTATATTAAATAACAATATTGATTTATTTATTTCTTACTAATTAGTTTTTAATTTTTATATATTATTTAAGTTTTGTATAACATTATATATTATCGTATTTTATAATTCAATTGTTGTATTTTTATTATTCAATAGTTGTTACTAATAATGAATTAACATTATTTTGTTTTTTTCTTGTATGTAATATTTAATTAATTGTAGAGTATAGAATAATTAATTAAACTTGAATGTTTATTTATTTCATACCTAATTTTTGTATTTATTATTTGTAAATAGATTCATGGAGCAACAGGAGCCGCACCAGACATTTATTGACCCTGGTCCATCGGTGCCGTCTCTCCTGACGTTGCAGGATAAACACATTTCGACACTTGTATGGAACAGATCTGATAACGCAAATGCAGATAATAGTGTCCTCAACATCAGAGACGATGCGTCATGGGATCATTTGGATATACCTGAGGATATCCATCCTTACCTGCAGCAGGCTGGATTTTATCACGTTGCGCGTCTGCGCAACCATGAGGTTAGTGATACGTAGAGTAGATAAAAAAAAAGAATTAGATGTTGTATTGTTAATAAATTGTGATAAAATGTAATATAATTTTTTATTGTCAGATTGATCACTCACTCATTTCGGCCCTTGTGGAGAGATGACGTCCTCAGACGCGCACATTCCATATGTCGATGGGTGAGGTTACCATTACTTTGGAGGATGTCCACCATCTGCTTGGATTTCCTACAGATGGAGAGGTTGTATCTGGCCGCGTTGGAGTTCATCCCTTCTCCAGCTGATGAGAGATTTATTGGGCATTAAGCCGGGTCGGCAGCGCGACTTATATAAGAACCAAATTTCGCTAACATTTCTGAGGGAACGGTATCTACATTGGCATGAATGGTCTGGCAATGAAGCTGACCGTATGAGATACACACGTGCATTGATTTTGCGCATTATCGGTGGTTGCTTGTTCGTTGAGACTGCATCTAGA